ATCGATACTACTTTTATACACTTGAGTGAACTAAATTAGTATAACTCACTATACTTAAAACGGCTATACACAGGTGTTGGTTGGCTACATAAAACAGACACTTTTAGGTTTATAAATTAAGCAGTTTTGTATGCGTAGTGCTACTTAATTTTGATTCTCGCCTTCAGTTTGTAATTATCGAAATTTTTATCAACTAGTTCATTGAGTGATGCTTACTTGATTTGTTAGTGAGTGAATCTCCTATCTTTTTCATTTGCCATTTCATTCACTTTCAAGATTATTTATCTACATCAAAGATTTGAGATTTTACTGAAGAGTGTCATCATATCTTTAAACTGGTTGTAAGCAAACCAAGGTACTGAATAATGATACTGGAATTGCATACCAACATCATGTTATTCCCTAGACTGTATTTTCCACTAATATATACAAAAGGTCAGTTTAACTGTCACTCAGCAACTTATCATTTCGAAGTGGCTGCTCAGTTCTCTTTTTATTTTTAAGAAGTGAGAAAGCAGGGATTTCGCAAACATACTACGCAGTCAGGTTGCTCTGGGAAAATTATAACAATGGAGAATGAATCCAAAAATCAAAAAGGATTAGATAAAATATTTGGTAAAAGCTGAATATAAATTATTATCTACCAGTTTAAACATTATCATTTAAAACTGATGAACATAGCGAGTGTGGAAACAATTTCTTGCAACACAACTTCAGTCTAGGTGAATCAGGAATTCTAGTTTATTCCTCTTCTTTAGGGGAACTATTTGACTGCATAGAGTGTATTCATTAGTTTCATGATCTATCTTCAGTTACCAGATTCCTTACAGACTCTGAGTTCACTTGGAGTTGAATGCTACCAATAGAAGCAAACGAACAGGGAAGAAAAAATCTTCAGAAGCAATTTCATGTATTTAGAGTTTTTCAGGTTTTTGATAACTGATTACTATTTATCTGCAGACTGTAATTATTTCTTTCTGCCTTTTTTGCATGAAATAGAAAAAATTACGTTTTATCAGAAATTTATGAGAATAAAAGTACTTATAGTAAGTGATAGCTGTATTACTTAGTTAAATATAATTTCTTTGAGAGGTAGTCAAATATTTCTTATACTAGAAAATAGGTCGAAGTTACGGGAGCGTTGCTTGTAGGTGCTTATCTATATGAGTGGTAAAAGTAGATATCACATGGAAGTGAAATGGAAAATTATTTTTGTTTTGTTATCTCATTATTTGCAGATCTGCATGTTTCCTAGTTTCAGATCTTGAACCTAGTTTCTTCAACAGTGCACTAAGTCTGATATAAAGAAGACGTAATAAGGTTCAATAAAAATATCATTAAAAAGGAATAAATCAGACTTGACGCTTAACGCATCATAGTTTAATCGCTTTTGACCTTTCTATGGTTCCTGACTTTATCCTTGTGTGACTGGTGGTTATTATTGTTATTGTTCCTTTGGGTTCCTAGTGGAACATAGGGCTTCAACTGCACGTCTCCACTTGCTTCTGTCTTCCGCTGTACTTTTCACTTCCATCCATGTTAGTCCATACTGTTTCAGCTCCCCTTCACAAGATCTCCTCCATGTCACCCTTGGACGTCCCACTCGCCGCTTCCCTTTCGGGTTCCACTCGAGCGTTGGTCTGACGCGCGATGTCACCCAACGGTCTCCTCAGCGAGTGCCCAATCCATCTCCGATTTCTCCTGCATATTTGTTGGGCGATTGATTCTTGCTTTGTTTGTTCCCATAGTTTCTTGTTGGTGATTCTTTCCGGCCACCTGATCTTCAGTATATAGAGCGAAGACAGTTGCTGATAAAGGTCTGCAACCTGTTGGAAATGTTCTTTGTGACCCGCCAAGTTTCTGATCCTTATAGAAGAACTGACTGACTTGACGTTTGTATTGAAAATCCGAATTTTGTTGTTGATGCTGAGTGACGAAGATTTCCAGATTGGTTTCAGGTTGATGAATGTGTTTCTCGCCTTTCCGATTCTCGATTTGACATCTTCGTCCGTTCCTCCTGTAGTTGAGACAATGCTCCCTAGATAAGTGAAAGAAGTAACCTCTTTCAAATCCCTCCCGTTGATGGTGATTGGCGCTGGATGTTGCTGCTGCTGGTGTTGTTGTTGTTGTTGTTGGTCGGTTATTCTCATAACCTCCGTCTTGTCTATGTTCACCTGGAGTCCTGTCCTCTCTGGCTGCTTCTTCGACCAGTTTGTCGGTTTTCGCTTGTAGGTCTTCGATTTTGTGTGACATCAAACATAAATCATCCACGCGCGAAATCCAGGTCTTCTAGGTTCTTCACGTCAGTCCAGCATATCCCTGTCTTCTCGCTTCTCACTGTCTGACGCATAATCCAGTCCACCACAATTAGGAATATCATTGGTGATAATAAGCACCCTTGTCTGACTCCTGTGTTTACTGCAAACGCCTCGCTGAGTTTTCCGTTGTGGATCACTTGACATGTGCCTTTGTCGTACAGCTGTTGAATAAGGTTGATGAATATTTGGGTACGCCGTAGTACTCGAGTAGTTTCCAAATTACTTTGCGGTCAACGCTGTCGAAGGCCTTCTCAAAGTCTATGAAGGAAGTTGAGGTAGAGGTTTGATTGCCATCCCATGCTTTGTTCGATGATGATGCGTAGAGTTGCAATTTGGTCAGAACATGATTTGCCTTTCCTGAATCCAGCTTGTTCTGGTCGGAGTTCTGTATCCAGTGCGTCCTTTTTTCTCTCCAGGATGATGCAACTCAGAATTTTACTTGGCGTCGACAGGAGCATGATTCCTCGCCAGTTCTCGTAGAGTCCTAAATCGTCCTTCTTTGGCAGTTTCACAAGGTGACCTTTCCTCCAGTCAGTAGGCACCTTTCCCTCCTTCCAGACTTTTTGCAATAATGGAGTCAGAATATCTGCTGTCGTCTCTGGGTCCGCTTTCAGTGCTTCATGGGGTATTCCATCTGGTCCAGCTGCTTTTCCAGCTTTCAGAAGCTTGATTGCATTCAAGACTTAAGCTTTCGTTGGAGGACTGGTGTCAACTTGCAGTTGTGTACGTGCTGTTGTTGGTATTTCTAGACAGGTTGTAGGTGGTGGTCTGTTCAAGAGTGCTATGAAGTGGTCCGCCCATTGTTTAATCTGTCTTTCTTCCTTGGTCATTGGATTCCCTTGGCTGTCTTTTATAGGTTTCATTTGTGTTGATCTCTCCCCGGATAGAGACTTGGTTATCTGATATAGTGTCCTCAGGTCCCTTTTGCCTGCTGCCTTCTCAGCTTCAGTGGCCAGGTTGTCGTAGAATTGTCTTTTGTCCTTCCTGGCATTCTTCTTCACTTCTTTGTCCAGTGCTGTGTGAGTTGAGCTCAGCGTCTCTTTCTCTTGTCCGTCTTTGCATTGAATCATTTTCTCTTTCACCATTCTCCTCTCCTCTATTGGCTTCCAAGTTTCCGTTGAGAGTCATTCCTTGTCTTGTTTCTTCTTTCTTCCTAAAACCGTTGGACACGTTTCGTTGAAAATTACCTTCAGAGAGTTCCAATGGTCTTCCACGGATGATTCCTCAGTGGTGCCACGTGGTGTTTCCTGCTTTGCTCTGACAGTTGCAGTGAAAGTGTCCTTTGTGGTTGTGTCCTTCAGCTTTTGAGTGTTGCAATTGCATTGTGGGCTATCCCCAGCTATCCTCGAGGCTTTCAGCTTCACCTTGAATGTCCCTTGTACTAGATAGTGGTCTGAACCCACATCTGCTCCTCTCCTCGATCTTGTGTCCAGTAGGCTCCGTCTCCACTTCCTTGAGATTGGTGGTTACAGAATAATTAATGTTGGACATTTTAAGGCCTACAGAGTATAAACGGTATCATCGGATCTCCTTTTACAAGGAAATACATAAGATACAAAACATAATTCAGCAAGGAATATGGTCATTAGAAATTGCATTTTTAGCAACCAGAAATATTTTCCAACTTCTCTGATGTTCATTCAGAAGACAGTTGGTTCTACCTTGACTTCCAGTTTATTTTTTCATACTAGCAACTATTGTAAACATTAGGTATATAAATTCCCTTTTGCACACTGCTTTTTAGTGTAATGAGAAATAACCTATGAAAAAACTAACATTAAAAAGTGAGCTTTAATTTCAAAATATTATGGTAGCTAAATAATTTATTACACTTAATTTTTATCATGTCCGTCAGTGGCACAGTGGTTAGGACGCTCGCCGGCCATGCACATGGTCCGGGGTTCGCTCCCCAGCCGACTCACTCCTTTACCTCGCTAAGCCAAAATAAAGCTGGTAAAGAGGAAAGGTTGGACATGAGGCTAGCGACCCCATCCTGTAAAAATAAACACCTCTACAGAAACTTCAAGCCAGTAGCTTGAAGTCCTATATTCCACTGGGAACGTGAAGGAATAAAATTTTTTTTATCATAATGTTGAAAACAAACACTGATATTTCAACTGAGACAAAATTTATGTCACGAAACTAAACGCATGGAACTCAATGTCAGAGTTTTTCTGTGATAACAGAAATATTGTTGCATAAATACTTAACGTGTTATCCAACCAGTATTTCCAAATACGTTAGGTTAAATTGAAGAAAGATAAAAATTCTATTTCTAAAACGTTTTTACTTTGACTGATCAGGTCACTGTGCTGAAAAGAATACAAATGAACAGTTAAACAATTGACTAAAGATACCCATTCAAATCTCACGAGGCATTATTTTCCTTCTGTTAATGTATATATATATATGTATATCAGTACTTTAGTTTTTACAGTGCGACCTCCAAGTCAGTTAGATTTTGTTCATCTTCAAGTAAACTATGATCCGAGTCAAGAAGTTTATCTAAATAGACTGAATCTACTGTGGCATTTTAAATCAAAAGACACCACAGTTATGTGGAACTAGTCAGAGAATAGATGATAGTTTTATTTTATAAATGAACACGTTCATAATAAAGAAGAGAAGATATAGAACATAACATACTATATAACATACTAGTTAACACATTATTTTACTTACTTCTTCAGCGTACTGCATTGATGCAACTGCAATTGAAAGACTGGCGGCTACAACAGACGATGCATACAGTAAACAAATTGTCTGGCGATCATTTTGTCTACAAAATAAATGGATAATATGAATTTTGTTTTTGATATTAAAAGGCTTGTAAGTGAAACAATTAACTAAATGAATACATTCATAAACTCATTATTATTATTCAGTATTAATGATTGAAAGATATTTACGGTTAACATAGTAGAGAGAAAAAATAAATCCCTGAGCTTAGCTTGTACTTAAACTTTCACTCGCTTATTTGAAAACTGCAGATTCTCTGAAATGCTTTTACTGTTATTAAACAACAGGTATTTCATATCTTGGCATTAAATGACAGGTGAAAAACTTTAGTTCAGACAATTCAGCAGAATTCTGATGAAGAAGCTGTGGCTTACACAGTGAAACGTTCACAAAAAATGTTGTTTTGATATTTTTCTTGAACACGCAGGGATTATTTTAAATAGTTCATAATGATCCGATCTAACTCGGCTCTCAAGTTATTCCAGGGAAACTTATAATATTACAAGCCTAGTATGAAAAAATTCTATTCTATAGAGTAAGGCTAAATAGCAATTTCGACAACATGGTGGCTATTTTTCCAATTGTGATATAAAAAATGAATTTTTAGACCAGTTTTGAAGTAGGAGGACAAGCAAAAGCACTGAATGTAGCTGACCGTGCAAAACTGAGTAATTCAATTCATTCATAAAGTGCTGTCTTGAAACAATTTAAGTTAGATCACAAACTTACTTCAGACAGGGAACCACTGCAAACCAAGCAGTACTGAACAGCTGTTTATCTAAGCTGTAAACTCTTTAGTAGTACACATCCATGGCCACACCATTTCAGGCTACACGGCGAGTCTGTTGACCATTTCCTTTTGTGTTTGACTCTCGAGGGGGGGGGGCGGTCGTCTGTTTTTTCCACCGAACTGTCTCAAACTACCAGAACATAGTTGTTCAGTACTGCCTGATTTGCAATGGCTCTGTAAATAAAGTCATTTTGTGATCCACACTGAAGATGAATTCCAAAATTCCAGTAAACCAACTCATCTGACTGAGGCATTTCTGTACGTCAATCTTTTAAGTAAATATTCAGTCTTCATCCTTTACGTAAAATGTTTTGAATGGCTATTCCTGAAACATATGCATGTACCTGAGATGAAACTGTCGAAGTCTTGAACATAATTTTACCTCAGTAATGAATGCTTCGGCGTTGGTGGCACAGCGGTTAGGACGCTCGTCGACCATGCATATGGTCCGGGGTTCGATCCCCGGCCGATGTACTCCTTTACCTCGTTAAGCCAGATATAAAGTTGGTAAAGAGGGAAGGTTGGGCATGAGGCTAGCAACCCCATCCTGTAAAAGTGAACACTGCTTAAGAAACTTCAAGCCTATGTTCCATTGGGAACGTGAAGGAATAAAAAAAATGAATGCTTCACATTATTATTGTGAAACAGGAGTAGTTTTCCTTCCTAATCATTATTTTTGGTATAGAGCAAAGTTTCATATTCTTTTTTAATTATAGATTCTAATGTTGACCAGAGATTATTGTGTCACTAGATGGCTGATACTTCAGTTCAGCCATTTGTTAGACTTGCAGCTAAGGGTTCCAGTCAATAAATAATTTTCGTTTGATTATTTTTATGTTGGTTCATCAATAAACTATTGTTATATTATTTTCCTGCTCGGTTACAGATATGCCTTGCTGACGAGTGCCACTTAGCACGAAACCTAGGTTCAAGGCTTTCTGCCGATTCCCTCCAACCATCTAGTATCAAAAATTCAAAGTGCACCACAATGACGAGACACCTGGAATGGTGGCCACATTGGAAAATTGACTAATAGAATTCAGTCTGTACTAAAGACAGGACTACACTCATTACAATAGTTACCGTCTAGCTTCCAATCAAACTTATCCAGTACAGTCCGATAGGGGGCAAGGGATAAAACTCTGGATCACGTGCATGACTGGCAAGTGTAAAACCACTGAATTTCTGGTGCATTTTAAGTAACGCGGTTGGCGGGAAAATTCCCTTTGTAAACTTTAATATCATTTTATGTGAGTGAATTTAAAGAAATAGTATTTTGTAAATTCACACACAAATTAATAAACGCCTTAATTATTGTACTGAGTCAGACTAAAGTGAGGGGACCATTAACATAAAAGTTTTAAAAAATAAATTGTGCCTTAAGATAAATTACAGAAGCACTAAATGTTTCCCTTCTCTCAATCACATGCTTTAATACATCTATAAATCTTATTTAGCGATATTAAGTAATGAATAATTTCAGTCCATATGACTTTGATAGTAGCATGTGAATGATAACCGAGGAATTGGTAGTCATAAAAATCTTCACAAGTTTAAAGCGGAGAGTAAGAATTTGGTTTTTTACAGTTTGTAAAAGGCGGTAAGTAATTAATTGATACAGCTGCACAAATCCCGACAACATATTTATGGGAAAGATTTTTACTTTACAGAATTTTTAAAACAGTATTTTGCATGTAAAGGTTAAATAACATTTTAAAGTGCATTCCTCGTTTTGGAAAAGAGTGATGTTTTGATTATTTGCAGCAGCTAAAAAGCTTCTGATTTTCTGCTGCACTGTATTGAATGTCGTGAATGTTCTGCGCACATTTACAAAACTTCCTGATAAATAAGACAATATATTTAGAACATTCATATAGTACACCAGATAAACAAAACTGTTTGTTAATTGCAGAAATATATTCGTGATGAGCGATCTAAAAAGTTTCGTAAGTCATCAACTCTGCAGAAGTAACTTAGTGTTTCACAGTAGTCGTAGTAATATTTGAACATTTATAAATTAACAATGTTTAGCTTTCAAACAGATGTTCTGATGATATATACTTATAGCTGTTCATCCACAGTCATATATGAAGTCAAATGTGACTATACATCATACGAATTCCTCGTCAAATTCCAAACGCATTGGTACTGAGATTCAGTGATTGCACTCAAAATTGTACCGATGAGTATCATGATCATATGTTTTGAATTTAAAATTCTAGTCATCATTCATGAATTCATCAAAATTGATGATAAAGCCTTCAAGATCAGGTGTAAATGCCCAGAGAAAATGTCATGACATAGAATAAACACTCTATGAAATAATAAAAGATCAGTAGCATAGTGTCCTATCTGGAGATATTCATTTGTCAAGCTAGTGATATTTTAGTCTGAACAGTGACAAAAATGTGTTCAAATAGGGTAATTATTATTCGCTGAGGGTATTTAGATTTAATAATATCATATTACGATTCCAAATGACCCACAAGATAATAATATTATGAAGAAGTGTAATTATCATGCTTCTGGCTAGATGCTAAATAAAAATTCAGTTACCGCCAGTAGAACAAAATAAACTGTTGTTCAGTTGAAATATTTTTTGTTCATTTAAATACCATATCTGTTGTACATCAGAATGTAATGTACTCTAAAGCGGCAAGTAAATTTTAGTGTTGATTCAGACTATTGCGAAAAATTATAACTGATATGAGAACTTTTTAATGAAAAACACTAAAAATGTTAAGAGTGAAGCGTTTCACGTGTCTGTGAATGTAAAATTTCCAAAAAAGAAGTAGGCTAGAAGAATTAAAAGAAAGTCAGCTTATTTTCATACGCAAGATACCGCTATTTTCAACTAGTGTCAAGCGGATCCGCTTACTGGAATATCAAAAAATCCCAAAAAACCTTAGTGTTTCCCAACAATCTTTAAAATAAACATATCTTCGTGAAGTGTGTTGCAGATACTAACAATAAGTTATCCTGAAGAATAAAGTATAGCAGAAATTAACGACTAATAAAAATATAAAAACACGAAAGTAGTCTTAAGAGCAATCCTTGCAGCCTTTTTGAAAATATTCATGAGCTTATTTTCTGTTACGTTTCATAATTTAGTCTCTAACCAATACTGAGTTTATCTGAGTCGTTTTTGTATACATCGTCCACTTTTGAATAATACTTCAACGGAGATCATGAAATTAGTTAAAATTCAATACATATTGTAACCTGATCCATAGACTGTAGTTCTCATAATCGCATTATATATATTGCTGCAGTAAAATCCAACTAATCGTAATCTTTTATTTATAGTCAGCTGAAGTTTTGATTATAAGTTGTATGCTCTAATAGTCCTTGTGAAAAATGAAACCATATTTCATTTATTGGGTGTACACTTTCCAGGAGGCTGCAAGTAAAACTTGATTTTACCTGAATACATATATTTCATCTGTTTTCTTGTGAATAATGAATTAATAACATTAAACACAAACTATGATTAACAACTATATTCTAATTATTTACAATGGTAGTAAAACTTAATTAATTAGCGTAAGGTGTAGTTCAGTTGAAAACTTTCCAGTTGTTTGTTTGTCGTTTCAAACATGCCTATGGCTTTCAGAAAACGTTTTGCCGTTTACTACATGATATATATTTAATGTTGCCAACCCTATACTCAACCTTCCTTCTTTTTTCGGGATTAGAATCAGCTAGTAAACTAGATGACATTACCAAAAATATTCCAAACAAGCTTCAGACTTTCATCAACAGCCGTCTTCGCTTGATACTCAAGGTCAGATGGACAAAAAGGATTAGCAACAAAAAACTCTAGCAACCGAGAACCCATCGCTTTACAAAGAAAGAAAATAGAGATGGTTCGGACACATGCTGAGGAGACCGTTGGGTTACCACGCAGTTGAAATCAACCACAACAGGAAATGATTAGTTGCGAGCCAGCTAAACATGACTGCAGAAAACAAGATGAAATGCAGATGTCCTGTGGGAGCCCGATGCTTCACTCGGAACCCAAAAGAATGGTAATAATTATAAGTAAGCATTCATACAAAGAAGACGAAGATAAACGACAGAAAAACAGTTCATAATTTCACAGAGCAAGACATTTTCACTGCCTAAGTGAATACAGCACAAAAATATAGTGAAGCGATAATAGTAAAATGATTAGAAGCACTGTATGAAACATCTTATAAAAATAACAACGAGTTATTATATCCCCTATTTACATATCCTCTGATTTCCAT